TTCATTCTATCTATTCAACAAATTCATTAGGACTCATCATCGATTGTAAAATTGTTCTAAATATCAATAATTACACTTATTGTATTATGATATAATATACAAATATTACTTTTACAAATAATTAAAAGTTTCATGACGAAAATTTTAATAATGGAAATATTTTTGTTCATATTTTTAACTCTTGAAAGATTTACCCCTAAGATGTAAAATAATTAACTTTATAACAATACTACTTTACATTACTTAATTGAATTCGCTATTAAAAATATACCGAATATTAAAACTTCCGTTCAGTCAGCTTCAAATTAAAATTTTATTAAATAATTATTTATTATTTAGAAATATCTAATTATGATAAAAAAAATTTAATATTAAATATTAATTTTTTTAATATTAATTTTTTTTCATTTGAAAGTTCTTTGTAATCAATGTACCATGAATGTCAAAAATACTTTAGAGTTTATCCATTAAATTACAACATTGATGTAGCAGATTAAAGTTATGAATCGCAGAACTTGGAAATGATTTCATTTCATTTCAACCCAATTCTGCTCTAAGAATTTCGTGTTTTTAAGATTCGAAAATATTTTCAAGTTGTAGTACTTTATCTTTTGAAGCAAACTGAATTGAATTTTTACGATGGATTTTTTTGCTTTGGTCAATTCCTGAATTTTTAACTCTCTATGTTCTCTTTTCTTCTGGAATTTTCTATGAATTGGTATATCAACCCAATCATTCTTAGTAATTTCGTTTACTTTCAAAAATAGCTAAAGATACGTGAAGACACGTAGATCACTTTGTTTAATGATGAACAAAGTTGACTCTGACTCCTTGAGTCTTTCAGAGTTGCACCCTCTTTATCATCGTTTGGTGTAGAATGAGGTCATTCTACTTCGGACGATGTCAGCCAATGAGGGTCCTCCCACCGATAAATTTCTTCACTCAGCTGATGGTAGGTCAGCAGGATTTTCTCATCCAGGTACGGGATGCGAATTTTCCCTTCCTGTTTAGATTCATATTTTAGAAACTCCCTTAATTACAAAAGTGCCCTGAGCTTCTACGTTTTTAATCCAAAATAGTTCTGTTAAAGAATCAGTCGAGCAAAATTTTTTTGAATTTTCGATCGAATAAATACACATTTTTCCACAAAATATTACACATTTTTCCATAAATAAACTAATTTCTCATACAACCTAAACTTATTAACAATTTAATTAACCAATTAAATTTATTTGTGACAAAGTCCTAGTGAGCTTGTCAAAAGTTACAGCTTTAGTTAGGAAATCTGCGATCATTTCGTCCGTTTGCACATACTATCGCACTATCGGATACCAAAGTTTCTTGAAAATTTAATTTTCGACGACCTTTTACTCTACTTGTTGATGGTTTGTAGCCTCTGTCGGTTCCCACTTCTTGATGTTTTGAATACCAATTCCTCACTACATGTCCCGGTCGTCTACAGGAGTAGCAAATTTTCCTTGGTAAACTCTTCTGAGTAGCATACGCAGATTCCAAATTTCTTTGTCCACGGGATTTCTGTAGTAAATCTTTTTCTTCTTCCCTTAAGACTTCGAGTATTTCTTCTAGCGACTTTTCCCGTTGAGTTTTTAAAACTTGTTTTATGCACTCATATTTTTCAGCTAGACCTCTGACCGTGTAAAACACCAATTCTCTGTCAGATATTTTCAGTCCCAATGAAGCACACTTAATAGATAATCCTTTATCTCGAGCTCGGCTTTTGGCTCCAGCATTTCTAAGCCCTTAAGTTCGGCACCAGCATCAATCTTTCTGTTTTCTTCAAGCCCAGTGTAGGTAGTTTTAATCCTTGTCCACGAAGCTTTTGCATTCTTTTCTTCTGCATATTGTAAAGTCTGTTCGTCTGATAGCGACAACTTCAAGTATGATACGGCATCTTGGTTAGTAGTTTCCCAAACTTGCAATTTAGCAGGGTCAATTGGAGCTTCCTCTGTCAATGCCGGCATTAGTCTTTTCAAATTCAAAACTGCTTCCATTTTCATGGCCCAACGATGATAATATTTCCAGTCAACTTCGGAATTCCAAAAACTAAGTCTTTTTCCTTGATGATCGTAAACTACGCTCTGCTACCAACTCTTGTTTTGTTGAAGAACATAGAATCAATGCCGGCAAATAAAGAGTTTATTAAAATACAATTTGAGGAAATAACATCTCTCACACACAGTGCTATGCAAAAGAAAAATACATCATAATCAGTCATCATAGCTTAAAATGCGAACGAACGAACCACCTCTCAAGCAGATGCTTCAACTACTATATACGGATTTCCCCTATCGGGAAGTCGTTACACTAACTACGCAACTCGTGCAACTTACCTGAGAGAGAGGGAAAATGGGGTTTTGTTCGCATATTAACAACATTATAATAACACATTTATTTTACAACCGCACATAAACTGAGCAAAATTTGATTAAAATACCCGTAACGGGTTAGTAATAACCTTGCAAAATAAATGGGAAAACCTGTAACGGATTGGTATGAACCTTAAATTCAAAACAAAAACTATTCTCATCAAAAGTCAACAACTATCTGATGTTACATAAATTTTCTCGTTCTTTTATTTTTAATTTATCTCGTTATGTATATAAGATGAAGTTGAATGACAAGGAATTTAATTAATATGCAATATAATAAAGAAGCGAAAAGATATTTTAAAAAAGTATTTAATGAAAAATAATAAACAGCGAAATATATGCTTTGCGAAGCGTTCTATTTACATCTCTGAATGTTGCCACCTTTTTATATGAAAGTTAAACTATTCTCTGCTGTAATAAAATTAAACTTATGCGAACCTTACATGTATTTTTATTCATGCTTTTGTTAGCCATATGTTTTTTAGCTATTTTTAGAACCTTTGATGACAGGCAGATTTAATTTTCAAGCTGTACTTTCTGAGAAAAATTCTTTAATTAAGAGTTCCAATTGGTTAAATTCATAGATGCTTCATTCATTATTGTTTTAGCTTCATGATAGATTTGACGAGCCTCGTCTTCTGAGTCCACTCCGGTAATGAAATCATCGACGTATAAGGAATTGTCCAGTAGTTGAATTGTCTTAGGATATATATCATATAATTTTTTCAGATGACTCTTAATACAGGCAGCAAGCAAAAATAAACTAAGCTTAGTTCCAAAAATTAGTCTACAAAATCGGTGAACTCCAATTTTAGGACTTCGTAAATCCGATTTATCATCAAAAAGAAAACGCATGGCATCTGTGTCTACTGGAAAAATAGAAATTTGATATGCCTTTTTCTATATTTGACGTCATAATTAAGCGGTATTTTCTTAAGTTCATGAGAATTTTTAAAAATCTGGTTCGGTCCATCTAAAGGGCCGTCGTTGAGAGAAAGTCCTTAATTTTGTAGTCGCATGTTCAGCCCTTATCACTGCATCATAAGGAATTGCGTATTTTATGTCACTAGATTCTGTATCATCACCAATTTTTTCGATTATTTCTTTCCTTTAATTGCCTTTGAATAGCCTCTTTATATTCAAGTAATTCCAAGTTCTTCTAAATGTTTGCACCAATTTGAAAAAAAAACGAAATTTTGCATTTTTATAATTATCTTAAGATTTGCTTAACCTCCATCCATGGTCATTTAATTTCATGTCTCTTTTCCTTCTGAGTGATAGATGGAAAAAAAAACAAAAGCTTTTTCTGTTTCTTTTCTTCGCAGATATTTTTTATTCCTATTGATTCATTTTCCCAAAACATTTTTAAGGACTCGTTAATATTCATGTTTTCTTCTAAGGTCAGATTAGCTATAACATTCGTTAATTCATTGCAGTCTCAGGAGGGAAAATTCATTTGAACACACCATTCGAAAATCGTTTTAAGTGCAACCGCAGAATAATTTATTCTTTTAATTCGATCCTTACTTATAGACCACTATGTCGGTGCCAACAAAATCGAAACATTTTCACACCTATTAATCTGTAGTCGTTTAACTTAAGCCCAATTCACGATATTCCAAGGCTTTTTAGTTCTTTTTTCGTTTGATTGCTCGGCATTTTTATATCCACTGATGTAATCATTGGAACTTCGATGAAATCAAAAGTGATACTTTACTCAGGGTCATTAATATTTCTTAAAAGTTAATTCTACAATTTTGTTTTTATATTTTTTCGGGTGATTTTTTTTTTTTGGTCAAAATCACTAAGAACGCCCTGTGTAATAGAATTTGTCCCATTTGAGCTATGATTCGTTCATCCTTCTTCCGAGTTAGATTTAAACATAGAAACAAAACTTAACCTTCTGTGCAGAAGAGAGAAACTTTCTTAGAACTATGTGTATTGTAGATATATACCTGACATTTACTTTGTTATTTAGATCTATATGAGCAATCATTTTAGATTTCACAATGCGCAATGAAAAGAAGGGGAAAAAAACGGACCACCCTGAATAACTTTTTGTCTAATAACCGGACTTCACGTTATAGGACTCAATCTTAATGACTCGTGGGGGTGACCTCGAATATGCCAATTAGCGCAGATGATATTTTAAATTAAGAAAACAGACACAATAACGTACTTTCTCTAAATAAATATACCCTTTTTTCAACGGAATCGGATTTCTGACTTCCACAATATAGGGGGTGGCCGCAATCTGGGAAATATGGCCCCCATAGTTTGGTCAGGCGAGCTCTCCAAAATTTGGACCCCTTAATGCTAATTTTACCTTCTGGATTTAAAGTCTCAACATTTTCATTGTTTTTCTTGAAAATTTCAACTAAAGACTATTTACTGAGCGAACCGAAAATAAATAACAAAAATGTGATGTTTCTGCCATTCTTAAATAATCTTATCGTACTACCCCAATATTTATAAAAATTAACTCCACGGTCTGTTTTCGCTTCCCCATCTGATACAAAAACTGCTATAAATTTTCAGATTATTGGAGTTCAATCGAAAATTAATTTCAGATAGCTAACATTAGATGGAATCTATTTTTTTTTTAAAGCTAAAGCTAGACAGTTTCTAATTTTTCAGTAAAAAACTCAGTTTTGAAAATTTCATCTAAAATTGTGTTGCACAAATCAGATATCTTTAAGGGCTCATCTAACTTACGAATCCTGTACTAATTAATTAGAATATTAAAAATCTACCTTTGAAACTTAAAAATAGTACTCTATGCTCTTAAAAATCCGATTATTATATTGAAAGTAATTGTGGTATTCCGTTTTAATTTAACGCAATTTGCATCTTAACTTTAAAAAAAATATATACTTTTGTAAATTGCTTCACCTCTTACGTACTTCGTCTCTTAAAATAAAGAAATAATTCTTATTTCAAGTTCTGCTAATTAGTTCAATAAATAGAGAAATCTTCCATTTTATTAATTTTATTTCATAGAACAGAAAGCTTGTCGAAACTGAGTAAATAAAATAATACTTATTGACGAAACTGAATAAATAAAAATAATACTCATCGAAAACTAACTGATGCGTCTCTAAGCGGTTTCACTTTCTCACTGAACTTAAAACTACCACTCCATCAAAACGTTAAAATCTGGAAACGGCACTTAACAACATGAGGGGTGGATTACAAAGCAATTTGTCGAAATGGGCATTCTAACGATGTCTTTCTACCTGAAGACCCCTGGCGACACATCTCCCTTCGCCTGAAAAGCTCTTTCTCCTGATCCCGGATCTCAGTGTCGATTTCGGCATTCAAGAGGATAGGTAACACAACATAGGATAAGTGGATCATAAATTTGGTGCTCCATGTGCCGCTCTCTGCCAATTTCTCTATGCTTCTAATCCTTTTTCTTCGGCTGGCCTTATTGCCGGGTAAGAGTTTCTTCCTTTTTTTTTGTTAATGGATTTATTTTATGCTTTTAGGTAATCTGTTTTACTCAGCCAAATGTATAAAATGCTTAAAATTGATATTAAATAATATGATTAAATTCGCTATTACTAAATGAAATACAGTTAAATTTGATTTTAGATTTTTTGATTAAATTCGTAATTATTGAGCCAAATGCGTAAAATAATTATAATTAATATTAAAAATTTTAAATAAATTCGTAAATAATTGAATTGAATGCGTATTAAAAAGTTTAATTAAACCAATCGTTTTTTTTTTATAATTTAGTTCTATATTGTACTCAGATTTTGTCCATACTATCACACTTACTTGAATTAAAAATTTGTATTTTGCTGAACGAGTAGTTCGCGGAATGTAAAAGCAGAAACAGATATAAACTTTAAACATTGTCGATTAAGTTTAAAATTATTTCACCTTAAAATTTCTAGAATGACTGTATAATTCTGTCTATTTAAGTTAATTACATTATTGCAAAAGTGCTCCTTAAATAGATAATTTAAATATTTTTTTTCTAACCAACATGGCCAATTTTAAAAATTTATGCTGTTAGCTAAGCCAATGTACCGAAAAAAATATAATGATTTTTCTTATTCTTAATAAATGGGAACACCATGTAACACAGAATTTACTATGTTAAAAATTTTTAGGGAAAACTTTCGTTTATTTGATGCTTGTGCAAATACGATTGTAAGTTTTTTTTTACAAAATAGATTAAGTAAATGAGTATTATAAACTTATTTATCTGCCTTAAAATAATTTTTCTAATATTTTAAGGTATTTACTTTTGTTTTTATGTGAATATTATATTATATATTTCAACAAAATGAAAACAGATTTATAATCGTTACACAAAAATTGTACTATTGCACATTAAAATTTCGAAAGCATATAAAAATTGCTATAAAATTATTAACTATTTACTTAGACATAATAATTACAAAAAAATTCACTATAGACCATTTAAAATATTGAAAGTATAATTCTTAATTAAATTATTTTATAAAAATTTATTTGAAAACAAATAGTTAACTTTAAATATAATATTACATATATTGTAAACCGTAAAAAGCTTATTCAATTTGAGCTTCTGAGGTTAATTCATACTTTATTCAGAAGTTTTGTTGCTTTAATTTTTAGATTTCTATATTTAATCTTAATTATATAAGAATTCGATTAAAAATTTACTTAAAAATTGATAAATTTACTTTAAATATAATAGTATCTACATTGTAAAATTTACTTTAAATATAATAGTATGTTTATTGTAAACCAGGAAAAGTTAATTCAATTTGAGCTAATTAGGGAAGCTCATACTTTAATCTCAAATGGCGGTAAACTTTTACAGGTTTTGTTGCTTTACAAACTCCTGAATTTTGACATTTAATTTTAACTAATTAACAGTAAAGAAATTTCTTTGAATTGAAACATATAAAGCTGGTGCTAAATGCAAAAAATAAAAAAAATTATTTATAAAAAGTTAAAATCCATGAAGGAATTTTGAATTATTTTCACGCGTTTTTGCCGTAATCTGCCACTATTTGTTGAAGGAAAAATTTTTTATAACTCTCTTGCATCATGAATGCAGGATGATAATCAGGATTTTTTTTATTTTAAAAGCTTAAATTACTGTAAGTATTCAAGATGGAGATTGGTTAAACTCATTTCTGCAGAATTTTCTTATAATATTAGATAAAATGTGATGATAATCGATTGCCTGTTTAATTATTTTTTAATATTCATATTAAGGTTCAAGAACTTCAGAAGATAACAAGCTTAACCATAATTACACAACCTATGAAATGCTATCAGGTGCATTTGCAACTATTAATAGTTTTTCAAGATGTATAGCTTCTCCATACTTTCTTCCCATGTTATTCGAGTGCTTAGCGCATTTGGATTTCTCTACATTTATGGTGATTAAATACTAATGATCTTACTGATTCTAAGTGAGAATTCCACTGAGTATCATTTGGCAACTGCGTCATGCATGCATGAGAAAACAGAACTAATTAACTTCAAGCTGTTAATTAAAAGGGAACTCTTCATTTCCTAAACCATTTGGTTTGTAAAAAGGGGAATAATCTAATTTAAGGTTGAAAACACTTTAAAAGGAGTAAATTCCTATTGCGATAAACTGGAAATAAGGTGTAGCTAAAAACTAGAAGCTGACCATTTCTTGTGTCTTATTGAATATTTATTTAAAAAGTAGCATTAATTGTTTGATTCATTTTAATTATTCCGGAGTTGAGGATCTGAATACTGATCATCAATCTTTTATTTAAAATATTGCATAATTGAGAAATTTAATTATTTAAAAACACCACAGCCAAATTTACAAAAAATGCACATGTGAGTCGTGATGAATCTGTAAGTTTTTTTCTGATTTTAAAGAAAGGAGATTATTAAGCTCACCAGCGTCCTCCTGAAACTTCAAAAACTGGTTGTAAAATTTCTATACGGATCTTTGAAAACTCACTGATGTGCCTTTTCATATGTGAGTAATGATGAATCTGTTAGTTTTTTCTGATTTTAAAGAAAGGAGATTATTAAGCTCACCAGCGTCCTCCTGAAACTTCAAAAACTAGTTGTAAAATTTCTATACGGATCTTTGAAAACTCACTGATGTGCCTTTTCACATGTGAGTGTGAGTAATGATGAATCTGTAAGTTTTTTCTGATTTTAAAGAAAGGAGATTATCCTGAAACTTCAACAACTGGTTGTAAAATTTCTATACGGATCTTTGAAAACTCACTGATGTGCCTTTTCAATTTAATTCTTCTAAGAACAGATTTTTTTTTTAATACTAATTTGAAAAGAAAAGAGATGAGTTTTCGAATTATTCTTTTAGAAATTTTTCTTCTTGTTTTTTAGTTTTAGGAGGATATTTGTCAGTGCAGTTATTCGTCAACAGTTCATTTTTTTTAATTTACAAAATCAATTATTGATACATTTTTGAATCTGAATGGGGAAAAAAAAAATTTTTTTCAAACTTTTTTTTTTGGATTTTATATTTTATACAAATATAATTCTGATAATCTAACTGACTTTTTTTTAAAATTAATAATATTTTTTTGCTTGTAATTATAGCGTCAGAAAAAATATATGTAAAAGGGACAATGGTGTCCTATCTGCATCAAAGGGTTATAAAAAGTCATTAACTCTTATAAAACTAACTTAATCCAGAAATTAATAGCAACTTAAAAATTAAGTAGATATCAAATTAAGACTTTGGCACTTTTATTTCTTCTAGATCTTGTTGGAAAATCATTTGTTTCTCAGACAATTTCAATCCAGTTTCTTAACAAATATTGTCAGAAAGGAAAATGTTAATTATTTTGTACCTGACCTATGTCATAAAATTTATTCAAATGTAACTTTATTAAAAATTATAATAGCAGCGAAATAATAAGTGTTTTAAATAAATCATTCCTAATTACACAAATTCGCAACATCTTGTTAGATTTTTTTATCACAATAAGTTTTATAAAATCATAAGCATTATCAATATAGTGATTAAATTTTCTCTATATAAATTACATTTTTTTTTTCATAAAAGAATAAATAAAATTCCTTGCGAAACACTAAATTTCAAAATGCTACAAATTAATAATTAGCCAATATAGAGAAAAATTTCTTCACAAAGACGCAAAATATCATGTACCAAAGTTATTAAATTTATTGTGAAGTTCCCTATTTAGAACAAAATTTATTTCTGAGCAATAAATACAGAACATTTTTTGAATCATAGCGTAACAGTCTTAAAGAGAAATATTTCAGAACACAGAATTAAACCTTTGGAAATAATACACTGTTTCTATAAAAAGTTAAAATAATAAACTATTCTTACCAATAAATAAATATTCAATATTTCATTTCAATCTAAGAAAACATTTTGTAAATTATAGATAGATCCATTGAAAATTTTGATGAGGGAAACAACAAAACAGGAAAGAGGTCTCAATTGAGAATTGAATAAGAGAAAATGTTAAAAAAGTTTTGAATGTTTCCACTTGGGATTAGTTTTTCGGTATAGTTAGAAATAAAAATTTCTGAAGCAAACATTCTTAAAACTTGAATTTCAGTTATTAATATATAACATTTTAGTTGATAATAAAAGATAACCAGTTAGCGAAGAAAAAAAGATAGGAAAATCTTAAGAATTATTTAGGAAAAAAACTTTGCAATGACTATTTTAAACATGTCCGTTATTCAATTTTTATTACCTAATTTTTTATACTTCATTTTGAGTAATAGTTAACTGTTTAGATATTTACTTCAATATTCTTTAAAAAAAAAAAGGAATCGTGTTTTTGTGTATATGAACTTCATGCCATTGGGCATGTCTTAAAACTAATCATAAAGTTAAAAAATACAGTTGATAAATTTTATTGTAATAAATGCATCTCTCATGATTATTAAAAAAAGGAGGAAGTAAAATCAAAATGGAATTAATTTTACTCTAAATGTACAATTAAGTGTAAATAATCTTTAATGATTAATGTTTAAGTCACATAATAATAAAATTACTTATTTTTTTTCTTTTTTACAAAAGATTATTTTATGAACATTTAAAATGGTAACAAATGTTATACTTTACTATTTTATTAACTTGATGAGTTTGATTTACAATTATGATACATAAAGAATTAAAATATATATATAAGATCCAAGAGCAAAAATATATAGAGCAAAGTTTTTAGTGATCGCAAAATTGATTTTGGTTACCTCGATTTTACATCCACTATCACTTTAAATAATACTGAAATCTACAATTACCCTATTGGTAACTATGTAAATATTGTATCACTTTATCAACAGTTCTAAATAGTGGTAACGAAAATGAGAAAAATTTTCATCTAATTTTATTTTTACCACTAAATATTATTTTCTTGAAAAAATGAAAGCTTTGCACAATGCACAATTTGACCCCGAAACGTTTAGGTGACAGACAATGTAAAAAAAA